CAAAGGGGTCGCGATCCACAGGTTGAGAACCGCTGCTCTAGATCTTCGAAGATAATTGGGGGTGGGACCCGAGCTCAGGGTTCTGAATCCGGTTGTCATGGAAAAAAACCTCAGCCTGGAAGTCACCCCAGCACAGCCACTTGGCTCTAGAGCCCCTGATCCTAGAACCCCCACCTCCCACTTCCAGGATGGTGGGGGAACACATTCACAGCCCACCCCTGCTTCCTCCAGCCCCCACTTGCCAGAGACTTCCATGGAGGGGAGACTCAAAGACTCTCATCACTCACTAGGTGTCCCAGCTGACATCTGCCTGCTGCTCCCGCCCCCAATGTCCGTCTTCTCATTTCTTTTCTTCCCTGTTTCCCCTTTCTCCTGCCCTGGGTCCGTTGTCCTCATTTCTTTAACAACTGGGGTTTGGTGTTGCTTGAGCACCTATGGTTCTAGGCTTTGAACATTTTGAAGACAGCAGAGAGTTGGCGAGGAAAGGAGAGCAGGGCAACATGAGAAGGCCTGGCTGTGATGGGGCCACCAGTAAAGGTCCTTTACATTAGCCAGGCCATGGAGACCAGCCATTTGGTGAAACACCAGCTAAATGTAGGTAGGAAGGTATTTTAAAAACAGGATTCACGCCTATTGTCAGTTGACTTTAAAAGCAGTTTACCTTAGCCCAGCCAGTGTGGCTCAGTGCTTGGGCATTGACCTTCAAACCAGGAAGTCACAGCTTGATTCCAGTCAGGGCACATGCAGCTCAATTCCCAGTAGGGGGCGTGTGGGAGGCAGCTGATCAATGATGCTCTCTCATCACTGAAGTTTAGATTTTTCCCTCTCTCCTCTTCTCTGCTATATATATATGTGCTAATTAACTGGGATGCTGTAACGGGTCGACTGGACAGGATATTGCATGTGCAGCATTTGGGGAGGGGTGACAGGTGTGGGAAGTCATCCATTGTCTTCTCTATCATGGGGGTGTGGACAAGGATCCCGGAAGGCTGGTGACCCTTGAAGCCCTGGCAGGCTATACACCCACTGTTAGTCCAGGCAATGGTAGCTGAAGTAACTTCCCCCTTTATTATTATGTAAATCCTTGCTGATGGGCTAGTCTGCCAGTTACTGGAAATTGCCTGCCTAAGGGCTATGCTATGGGTGTATCCCAAACCAATAAAAGGTTGGTGAGGCCTGAGCACCAGTGCAAGTCCTTCCACTTGAGTTGGACTTGACCGCCTGGCCCTCCAGTATTTACAAATTATCTCTTGTCTTTTCTCTTTCATTTGTGTGCGGCTCCTCTTCCAGATCCTGAACCCTGAGTCATGCAGGATGTGGAGGGAAACATTTACAACAGACAGGGGCCTCCGTGAGGGTGTGTGGAGCCTCATGATTTCAAATCGTGCTCTGGGCTCCTAATATATATA